GAAACGACCGCATTTGCAGAAAAAGAAAGTCCTGCTTCACCAAGACAATGCACCGTCTCACAAGTCAGTGAAAACGATGGCAAAAATTCATGAATTGGGCTTCGAATTGCTTCCGCATCCACCGTATTCTCCAGATCTGGCCCCCAGCGACTACTTCCTGTTCTCAGATCTCAAAAGAATGCTCGTTGGGAAAAAATTTTCGTCGAATGAAGAGGTGATCGCCGAAACTGAGGCCTATTTTGAAGCAAAGGACAAATCGTACTACAAAAATGGTATCGAAAAGTTGGAGGATCGCTATAATCAGTGTATCACCCTTGAAGGGAATTATGTTGAATAAAAAAAACGAATTTTGAAAAAAAAATGTGTTTTACTATTTTAGGCCGGGGACTTTTCAATTGACCTGTTAGTAGATTTCTAGATCCACAGACAAAGATATGTAACAGTATCAAATCTGTACCAACGTCCGGTAAGTGTTTTTAGAATACTCCAAAATTAAATTTTTCTTTTCTCATGAGAATCAGTTGGTATTTTCTACAATGCTATGCATAAAAATTGTACGTTTCTGCCAACAATCTTATTAGAACTTCAAAATTATGTCACGTCCGGCAACACTGCTTGGACAATCGCAGTAAATTTCTTTTAAAATGCATGCTTAGAAATCGTGCCATTGCTCATAAAATTGAAACCTCTTTTCATACGCTATTTTTGTTCATGTACAGGGAAGCGAACGTCGAACTTTTTGCGGAGGTGTAACAAGAATGATCTTCCTCTTAACTTTGAAACCGAAATAATAGAAGTGCCCAATTGGGCATATTATCTGCAACTTAAGTATAGAGTGTTTGTATCAAGCTTGCAGTAGGTGATAGGGCACTATAAAACAAGAAAATTAGGTTTCTAAACGTTAATAAGTCGGAAAGCACATCATTTTTGAAAACAACGTATTTGAAAATACAGGCAAGGGTCAGTCCGGGCCTGGTAGAATCACGAAGGGGATATTAATTTTCCTATTAAAGTTTAAGTACATAGTTTTTTTTTATTTTGCGTTCTTAATACCAAGTCGATATGTACTTTAAAGCACTGCGTCTGCATATTATCAGCGATGAACAAAGTAGTTATGTAATTAATTGTTATCGCAATGGGCGTCTAAAGATTATTATGTTCAGTAGCGCAGAGCCGGGCAAACACGGATCTTTTGCATCCCGAGTGATCCTCAAGGTTAACCAAGTAGCTCCTCATTGATCCTGCGAGTGCGAGTGAGATGATTCTTTCCTTTTCTTATCCCTTCCATTTCGTAGATGAGTCCCCTCTTCCATAGCCAAACCCAATAGTTTTGCGAACGTAGTAACGAAAATTTTCGAAGGAATTATTTAAGTTGCGAGAGTGGCTTCGCTCGTCTACGGGATGAAGGGGCTTGATATGGGAGTGGAAGGGAGAAGAAAAAGACAAAACAAAATTATTCATTACTGCTTACTCTCTCGTACTCATTGAAGGGTATGGAGTGACTCAAAGTAACCTCATGTAGCGGCTCCTGCGAAGTTAAAGTTTGCCCGGCTCTGCAGTAGCGTAATAGTAAGCTGTTGATATTTACATTATTGCTCATTCCACAATCGTCACTGTTTATACATTTCATTGATGTAGTCTCGTAATTGTTATCGTAAGTTCACTCTACTCTATTCACGCCCAGGGCCGGGGTTTCGGATTTCACCTTCGTCTGGCTTTTTGACAATTTTTTTGTCCTTTAGCCACTCTGCTTTACTCACCATGCGATTTCCTATTGTATCTAGTGAAAACCCTCCAGAGCTTGTTACTTATTTCAGAAACATTTTGTACATCTCTACTGAGTATATATTAATAAGAGACATTAAGGTCCTGTTCAACAATTTATCCAAATTACCAAATATGGATTGCGATTTCGAACTTATTAGTACACATCAGACATCAGCACACTAGCTAGTTTTACTAAATCAGTGACCAAACTGAATATGTACACGTGGTAGTTGGACTATTATATAGTATCTTTTGTTTTTAATGGAGCTTTTTTGATTGGACATTAATTTATCGAAGCTACCTACGGCGTGCTTATGAGTACTATTAGTGGTAAGATTGCTGGTATGTAAAGTCAGAGCCCTGGTTCTATTGCCGGCGAGGGTGTAGCGCCAGCAACAAAAACATTTTTTCTCATTAACTTGAGACAAATAATCTATAGTGTATGAAATTGAGTAGATTTCACATAATGTTTGGTAATTATTTTTACCATGTCTAATTGCTCAATACCATATGTCATGATCACTGGCTTCCTTTCGGTTCTCTGTCCTTGCTGTATTTCACATGCTATTTCTGAGTCGCAGCCTAATTTGGTTGCTTCTGGTATACGCTCACGTTAAGAAGTGATTAACCATTTTCTTTAACTGCTGCTATATATTCCTTCTCGTAGCGTAGTTAGCCATACTAATATCAAATGGACCATTCCACAATCCGATTGAAAGCTTAATTAGTCATTCACGAAAACAGCACTTTTTTTAAATACTCCAGATTTTCTTCAAAATAAATATACTTATAACCCGCCGATTCTGATACCGCGGTCTAAATTATAGCTTAGCATTCGAAATGACTCCAGTTCGATTACAGGTTCTCCCAGCCTTTCCAACATTTTCTCTTACTTTCTTGGATCATTGAAGCAAATGATAGGGTCGTTATATTCCACAAATATTTGCAAACAGTTATCTAATCTAGGGCTACCTCTACACCTCCTAACTCCCGTTTCTGCTTCTAATATATCTCTGACTAAACCTTCATGCCTGAGAAGTTGTCCTATCAACCTATCTCGCCTATTTATTATTGATTTCCACAGAGCCCTCTGTTCTCCTATTCTTGCTAATACCTCTTCGTTTCTAATCTTCCCTATCCACGGTAACCTCATCATTTGCCTGTAACACTACATTTCGAACACTTCTAACCTTTTCTTTTCTGCCGCGCCCATTGTCCATGTTTCGCACTCTTACAGCACCGAGCTCCAAACATACGCCTTTGACAATCTTTTTCGAATTTCTAAATTAACTGTTCGCGAGCATAGAAGTGACTTCTTTTTATTGAAAGCGACTCTACCTTGGGCTATCCTCTGCTTTATATCCCTACTACTCCTTCCGTCTTGACTTATCTGACTTCCTAGATACCTAAAATCAGCCAGATTTTCTAATTTTTCGTCTCCTATCTTTATATTCGCTCTTTCGCTACCTCTTCTCTTTCCTTACTAGTATTTTTGTTTTACTTTTATTTATTTTCATACAGTACTGTTTTGTCAATACCGTTTCTATTTTATTTAAAACCCACGAATATTACAATACAAACAGTATGCAGTACTAATGTTTGTAACTTATTGACACAGAAATAAATTCTGGTATTGTATACATTTTATAGCTACACAATGCTATTAAATATCTATACGGCCTCCCATTTCCATTAATTATAGCGGTTTCTACACGTGCAAATCAATTTCGTTAACTTATTGTTATTTCCATTTTCATTAAAATTTCAGTTTTCGTTATGCACTTACGCGGTTTCTACTTTACTTCGCGTGATTACCAGCCAAGAATGAAAATATTACATTACCGTACTGAGCTGTCCCTCTAGAGACAAGAACATACCGCGACTTTCGTTTATATTCCGCGTAATAGAGTACTTGTTCATTTCGGTGAATTTCCGCAGATACAGAAACAATAGGATTTTTGTTTTAGGGTGAGAAACTGTGCAGCATACACGTTAATTGGATTTTTCATTGGCTCTTGTACATATTCCAATACTGAAAAAGTTACCGAATTACCATTCAATTCTTTCTTAACTCAAAAAGATTATAATTAAAAGGGAAATAAATTATAGTTCAGACCTAAGTCTTCTTTAAAAACATCAATTTGTAGAAAAAACTATTAATTATTTCTACCTACATGAATTAAATAATTCGAAGTGTTCTGTATTCTGTCGAAACTGCCAAACGCAGATCGCGATTTCGATCTTTTTGGATCTCATCAGCGCGTCGCAGACAGCTCCGACAGAACACAGACCAACTTTTACCTGCTGTCTTAACAGCGCGTTTTAGAAATTACCACAAATGGCGCGGTAAACGCCATCTGCAGTACGATGCTACATTTTAGGATTACATATGCTCCAACAAGGTCCACTTGTGTGGATATCTACTTGCTGAAAACGAATCCCGGCGTAGCCAACCTCAACGTGATAGGCACGTTAGCTTAATCGAATAAAATAATTCGAAGTGGTCTGTATTCTGTCGAAACTGCCAGACGCGGATCGCGATTTCGATCTTTTTGGATCTCATCAGCGCGTCGCAGGCAGCTCCGACAGAACAGAATACAGACCACTTAGAATTATTTTATTCGATTAAGCTAACGTGCCTATCACGTTGAGGTTGGCTACACCGGGATTCGTTTTCAGCAAGTAGATATCCACACAAGTGGACCTTGTTGGAGCATACGTAATCCTAAAATGTAGCATCTTTCTACAGATGGCGCTTACTGCGCCATTTGTAGTATTTTCTAAATATGCAACAATATTTCGTATAAATTTAACTACTCATTATGGACTAATGGGGGTTGGAACCTTTTTTCAATAAAGGGACGATTGGGAATCCCTGCTTTAGAATCATCGATGATTCAGTAATGGAATACTCCCCTGCCACACGGGCGGCCCAAGTTCAATTCGGAATTTACCAGGGCCAATGTAATACCTAGCTATTGATTGTACTTACCTATAAATGACCGAATTTATATGCAAACTAATTAGTTGAAAACTTAAAATTTATAACTTTTAAATAATAATTTTAAAGTATGTTCGCGTTTATAAAATCGTAAACAAATGTTATTATTGAGAGTTAAACGTATATGTATAACGTCTGATTTGTTATCAGATACTTAGGTGTCTCCAGTCTTTGTTGGAATGCTATTTTGCTCAATTAGTAGATAGAGATACAATTTAAATTAACAGCTTACCATTAGCTTTTGTTGTAAAATGAAACACGGGACTCAGTTTATTCCATCCATGCACGTTCTTAGCTTGGACCCTTGCCTCGTAGTTAGTGCCAGGTGACAAATTACTTATCAAATACCACATCTTCTGACGAGATACTCCCGGAAACGGCGGAGGCATAGGAAGCAGCGTGTTTGTCATTCCTTGAATGGGAATTACCACGCTGTTCCAACTATTATTTCTGAAACAGAAGTGAATAGTATAGGCACAATTGTAATTTAACAACCATCACAGTTTATAATTTGACTTAATATCTACATCTACAGTGTTAGTTACCCAAAAGTAATAATACAATTAGAAATTTTCGTATCCAATAAATGACAAAACCTTATTTTGCTCTACAAAGTAAAAAGAATTGAGTGATATTTACAAATTAAAATTCATTATGTACTAATTATAATTTCATTAACACGCCATAAGCACTTCCAATAAATTCAACGACCAAAAAGATGCTCATTTAACGCTCTGTCGGTCGCTTGTACGTATATCAAAATGATACAAGCACGAAGTTGGGGTGTCTCGTCTTTACAATACCTTCCTAGGTCGACCGTATGTATCTATCAGTTAAGGTAACAACGTTTTATTGACTTCTGTTGTGTAATGGTAATTTCAGAATAATGGAGGATTGTGTGTAGAATTTAAAAAATCCCCGGGATGAAGAATTGATTATAAAGACAATCCTTACCAAGTGGAAGAGTTTAAGGATGAACCGGACACTGATGCAGAAGGAGAACCCGCAGAAGGAAGGGTTGGTAATTCTGAATCTGAGGATAGCGGGACAGATGAAGAACCTTTCTCGTATGATAATTTATTCTATCTTGAAAGAGACAAACCCTCCAAGTAGAATAAACATCCTCGTTTGATAAAGCGACGAACTGAGCCACATAATATTGTCACACGACTTCCAGGAGTAATCCATGAAGCACGAGAAGCTAAATTACCGATACAATGTCGGAGTAACATTTTCTCTGACAAAATGCTACAAACAATTGTTGAGCATACAAATCTTTACATTCATCTTAAATCGCGCATCCTACAACATTGCAACAAGCACTTCAATCGGTAATGGACAGGAGTGTGCATCTAAATTTATTATTTTTGTATACCTGTGGGTATTTTCCTGTATTGCTTATAATTTTTACGAATAACAATTGTTAAAAGCATAAACAATAAAATATATACATGTTAAATCTTATACAAAACGTCTAAACCTTCTACGAATATCTCAAGATTTTAGTGTATCATTTTGATAAATTGCGACTGGTTTTCTTTATACCAAAGTTGCGATCGATGAAGGATTAAGGAAAGTTCATATAATGTCTACTAGTTATGACAGTGTATTGCCATGTGTTGATATCTACTGTTAACTGGTAGTTTCGATAGTTTACTGAACAATCGGTTGTTATGCTGTTCTTATTAATTTAGTTTACGTGCCCATAAACTGCGTTATCGATGCAGTTGGACAAGCAGATACCTTTCATCAAGCAGCAGTAATCGGTAGATGACGATACATTGCTATAACTGAATAAAATTTGAATTTTTAAATATCACTGAATTCTTTGTGCCCTTAAAGAAGCTATACACAAAAGGCAAAACGTAGCTGTTGTTTTCAATAATAAACCACGGATTTTTATCCCTAGTTGACTTTGATTGCTAAAGTAGCATCTTGAGAAGAAGACGAAATAGAAGCTAACACTCCGATAGTCGCGGCTCTTAAACGATTGTTAATGGTCACGCTGGATCTATGAGATCCATACTTCTTCTTAGTTCTGATAAGGAACCTATCAGTGACAATTTTGACGGCTTTGGAGTGAGTACATCCAAAGACAAACATGGTTGGAGAGTGTCATTATACGATCCAAAACCTAGAGGAAGAAGAAACTGACACAGATGCGTCGGAAGAAGTTGAAATGCAAGAGGAAGAACCAAATACAGAAAAAAAGTAACTTATCATAATGAAAAGAGTTCGGATGAAGAAGAAAATCAAGACTTTTTTATGTCTAAGAGGATGAAGAATGGAAAAGTAGTTGAATCAGTGTCTTGGAAAAAAGTTCCCTTTACCAGTCGGAGGAAGACTAAGAAACAACGTGCTAACGAGTTTTTCTGGTGTCAGGCCAAACTGGGGGAATAAAAACCATTTTGGAGATGTGGATGTGTTCCAACATACCTGTGTCAATATCTACGAGAATTCGTTAAATATAGTCGGTGAATCAACAACCGGCAGACCTACCAGCATCAACCCCGAACATACAAAAACGTTGCAAACCTTGTCTAGCAACTAAGAAGAGAAGGATCACCAAGTATGTCTGTCGATTGTGCGGACAATATTTGTGTTTACAGCATTGTGACTTTATTTGTTCTAATAGATGTGATTACAATATAGCTGAAAATAACGACGAAGGTAGTGAAATATCAGTATGATCACACAACGCACGTATTAATAATCACGATTAATGAATAATATGGATCTTAGAGATCCCCCGTGACTAATGAGTGCTGAACATTGATTTACTTAATAAGAGGAAGCCTAAATTATCCCATTCTTTGCACACCTACACAAAATAATACTTATGAGAATATTGCTCACCTATAATTTGATGTGAACGATCCGTTATCCTTTTCGCGATAATGGTGAGTTTGTTGTCTGTGTGCGGTTCTTGGCTGTTGTCGATAGAACAATCGATATTCGGTGACTGCCGCATGGCTGTTGACGGACCAGGAGATGTTATAACTGTCCTTTTCAGTGCCCAAGGACGCAGAATCGAAGACGGCGAGACCGGGCACTCCAGTTAGAGTCAAATGTCCTCGAGCTTTACCATGAGTGTTGCTCGCCACACAACTGCAAACAAAGGGTAGATTTGAATTATACATCGTCGAATTGAATAGTTAATTAAGCGCAAGGATTGTGGAACGAACTAAAAGAAAGCAATAAGTACGTATATCAAATGCGTGAGACATTGACGTTCCTTTAGTCACTATTAAACAAATATACTAAACAGTTCCGAGAAATTTTCTGGAACTGATAACCTCTGTATTGATCTGTTTATACTATTGCTATGGGTAGTAAGTTTTTTTATTCTTTTAATAAATAGTTCCATTACATACGATTATTAGTACAAATTTCACTTCCCACATGTGAATAACGTGTTCCATAACCTAATTTAACTTTACGGTTCCGCTGGTGGGCGTTCCGACACAGTCACTACCACATCCCCTCTTTGGAACTACGACGACTAAATAATAATAATAATAATAACCAACAGTTGAACAAACTCAATACGTCAAAAGATTGGTGATTCTTAATTAATAATTTCAATTAAACGCCACAACATTCTCGATATCGTAAACAGGGGATTTAGTTAGTTTTATTCTTTTATTCGACAGTGTGCACAGTGATCTAATCTAAGTCTACCTCTACTCCTCTTAACTTCTGTTTCTGCCTCTAATATGTCTCCGACTAGACTTTCATGCCTGGAAGGTGTCCTACCAACCTATCTCGCCTTTTTTTTATTGACTTCCATAGAGTCCTCTTTTCTCCTATTCTTTCTAATACCTCTTCATTTCTAACCTTCTCTATCCACAGTATCCTCATCATTCGCCGGGAACACCACCTTTCGAACGCATCTAACCTTTTCTTTTCCACCGCGATCTAAACATAGACCTTTAGCAATCTTTTTAGAATTTCTAAATTATTCGTTTGTGAGCATAGAAGTGACTTTCCTTTATTGAATGCTACTCGACCCTGCGCTATCTTCTGCTTTGTGTCCCCACTACTCCTTCCGTCCCAACTTATCTGACTTCCTAGATACCTAAAATCAGCCACTTCTTCTAATCATTCGTCTCCTATCTTTGTATTCGCTCTGTCCCTACTTTTTTTCCGTTGTATACCAGTATTTTTGTTTTACTTTTATTTTCATACAATACTGTTTTGTCAATACCGCTTCCATTTTATTTAAAGCTATCTCTAATTCATCCTTGCTACATGCTAATACTGCTATATCATCTGCAAATCTAAGCATACAAATATTTTGCCCCTGTATATCTATCCCTACAGTTGTACTGTCTTTAATGATGTCGATCGCGTCTTGGATGTATAGATTGAAAAGTAGCGGTAACAGTGTACATCCTTGTCTGACTCCCTTCCTAACATTGACTTTTCTACGTTGCTACTCCTGCCTGTTGCTCTTTATACAAACTAAGTATCACTCTTCTATCTCTGTAACTTATCCCTACATTTTTAAGTATATTTAACACTGTCGAAAACTTTTTCTAAATCAACAAATCCTATGTATCATAATCTATATTCGCCATTTAATTATATTGCGTGTAACTTATAAATCTATACCTATTACTGTATCGTAGAATGCTTCTCGCAACAAAACAAAAGGGTGACTGCCCTTAAATAGACGATTTATTATAAATTGAATCGTCTGCGGAAATGATAACGGAACAATAACGTCAATCATTTCCGGTTTTCCGGAAACTATACAACAACTGCCTCACGCACTTATCCCCTTGTTCTCTCAACTCGCCCGAATTTCGTACTCCAATATTTACCTACCTGTAGTTTCCAAAGTCTGCTTCCGTGACATTTCGAATAATTAATGTGTATCTGTTTCCCCGGTTTTGGGAAGCATGCTGTTCCGTCGTTCCCAGCTGAGTCGTATCCTTGAACCACAAGACCTGAAAACCAACCCCTCAGTTACTTGTTTCATAATAAATCCCTTCATTAGATTTCTGATAGATGCTACATGAACAACGGAGAACGTTTCACAAACTGTAAGCCAAACGTATCGTAGGTATTTGTTCGTTAAAAAGAATTAAGACAGGGAAAGTAAATTTTGTTTTTAAACATATACGTTATTTAAAGTTAATTAATTTTTGAATTTATTTTTACCACAACAAATAACCTGAGGAAAAAATTGTTGCTACTATCACGCCCTGGTTAGGAATCGAAGTAGGGTCTCTGGTTTTAGGAATCATTGCCCTACTACTAAACTTAGTAAAGCCAGAGACCTGGGTTCGATTCCTGGCGAGGATATGGTACCAGCAACAATTTTTTCTCATTAATTTGACGTTATCTATAGTGGTAAAAATAAATCCAAAAATTAATTCAATTTAATATATTCAAATAAACCCTACGAAAAGTCTTCTAAAGTAGATCAAGTAGATTAGAAAAAGGAATTAGCATTGACTTGACGCATATTTTGTGGGATATTGTTAATCATTTATCCAAACTAAACCGTTTGTACATTATAAAAGTATATAATTATACAGGGCTACGAATATGTATGAAAATGTAAAATAAACGTCAAGATCCTGCCACTTATCTCTGAACATCGTATCTCAAAGTGTTATTAGAGAATTGTTGAACTCGTCCAAATTTGGAAGGATGTGCATCATTGTCCATGGTGCATGACACTTACATTTCAATTATGGTAACATTCCAATACTGTAATTTTATATAAGGATAAAACCATTGTTACAATGTTTAACCTTTAAGTAATGACGTGGGTGTCTGATAGACGGCGGGTGAACAAATTTGAATTTTATTTCGTCATATTTAAAGATACCCCTACGCCTTCTGGCTGACCGAAGAAGCTCCCCAATCTTCTTCTTTGGTTTGAAGGCTATTCTAATGTTGATTTTTTTTTAATATACTAGGGTCAATTGAAAAGTCCCCGGCCTGACACATAGATGGCGGCACCAGAACTAAATCCATATGATTTTCAGTTAGTCCTAACCTTCAAAAGACGCGTCTATAAATTTGACGGCTGTCGGATCATTAGTTTGTGAATTATAGCATTTTTAGTGAAGCAACTTTTGTTATTGTGAAAAAAATGGATAAAAAGGAATTTCGCGTGTTGATAAAATATTGCTTTTTGAAGGGAAAAAATACAGTTGAAGCAAAAACTTGGCTTGATAACGAATTTCCGGACACTGCCCCAGGAAAATCAACCATCAAGGATTGGTATGCTAAGTTTAGACGTGGTGAAATGAGCACCGAAGACGGTGAACGCAGTGGACGCTCAAAAGAGGCTGTTACGGACGAAAACATTAAAAAAATCCACAAAATGATTTTGAATGACCGTAAATTGAAATTGAATGAAATAGCAGACACTCTACAGATATCACGGAACGTATACATCACATCATTCACGAATATTTGGGTATGAGAAAGCTCTGTGCAAAGTGGGTGCCGCGCGAGCTCACTTTTGACCAAAAACAACGACGAGTTGATGATTCAGAGCAGTGTTTGAAGATGATCACGCGTAATAAACCCGAGTTTTTGCGTCGATATGTGACAATGGATGAAACATGGCTCCATCATTTCACTCCGAAGTCCAATCGACAGTCATCGGAGTGAACTGCACACGATGAACCCGCTCCAAAGCGTGCAAAAACGCAACAGTCGGCTGGCAAGGTTATGGCTTCTGTATTTTGGGATGCGCGTGGAATAATTTTCATTGACTACCTTGAAAAAGGAAGGACCATCAACAGCGACTATTACATAGCGTTATTGGACCGTTTGAAGGACGAAATCGCCGAGAGACGACCGCATTTGCAGAAAAAGAATGTCCTGCTTCACCAAGACAATGCACCGTCTCACAAGTCAGTGAAAACGATGGCAAAAATTCATGAATTGGGCTTCGAATTGCTTCCGCATCCACCGTATTCTCCAGATCTGGCCCCCAGCGACTACTTCCTGTTCTCAGATCTCAAAATAATGCTCGTTGGGAAAAAATTTTCGTCGAATGAAGAGGTGATCGCCCAAACTGAGGCCTATTTTGAAGCAAAGGACAAATCGTACTACAAAAATGGTATCGAAAAGTTGGAGGATCGCTATAATCAGTGTATCACCCTTGAAGGGAATTATGTTGAATAAAAAAAACTAATTTTGCAAAAAAATGTGTTTTACTATTTTAGGCCGGGGACTTTTCAGTTGACCTGTTAGAGTTCGATTCTGTTCATCCATTACACATATCGAAAAGTCAAACTTATAAATCAAGGACTGAACCCATTTTATCAGCAACATAAAAAGAACACAAGTTCTGACACAGATGTGATGTGTTTCTCTATTTGTAAGCAATAGCAGATATTAAGACAGTTTTTCCGAAGAACATCGCTAATCTTTTGTAGTTATGCTTGACCACGACGCTTCTCATGAAAAGAAAACTGGAGAACCAAGTGAATACACCATAAGTTGAAATTCTTATACATTATTTAATGACCCAACCGAAGGGTAACAAGTTATTGTCGCATTCTTGGATGTAACATCAAACTTTGTGACAATTTTCAATTCCTATTTGAAAGCAAAGGCCTTCATTGAATGTAGGGCTGCCAGACAAACCGATATTTTCCAGATACTGTTCTTGTTATCGAAAACTAATGAAAATTCGAATATTGTCCTGTATTAACTTTGTGTATACGTGATCTTGATATTGTCTTGATTTTTTTAAGTCTTGTTCTGTTTTTGAATCGTCAGCACCCCTAGTTCGAGAGCGAGAGGTATGTCGAAGGACTTTTGAACAAGCAATCTTGGCAATATAATATTCTTAACTTGTTCATCTTGATCTTGGTCATGATCTCATACGAGCATCTTTCTTTTAAAGTGAAAATTTTATTGCATCGCCTCAATTTTTTTCATTCATCTATCGCATGTCGCATTACAGCCGGCCGCGGAGTAGGGGTAAAACTGAAAGGCGTTCGGCAGAGCAGCCAACGCTAATATGGCGGAGCCCATGGGTCGCATGAGCTAACCGTGTAGCATTTATATTCTCGCCCATTCGTGCGAGTGCATGACAATTACAATAGACTGTGAAACTCAAAGCGAAGATGAAATTATTGATAAATAATAAGTACAAAACGATTCAATGATTTAAATAAATATTGTTCTCAGTTTCTAACACGCGTCTATCATCTGAATAATTGTATTTATTGTGTATTGCGTACTCTAAAACGCAGATTGAAATTAAAATTTATAGTTGGATACCTTGGCTACTATTGATTTCCCATTATCATTCTCATTTTCCAATCATTAAGATAACATTAAGAAAGTGATTTTAATTTTAAAACCCTAAATCGAATAATTTTCTGAAAATTTACAGTTAAATGCTTACAGTCCGAAAAATTTCACTTGCATCCTGGTTTCATAAAACCACACAATTGTTTTTTTTAATATTGTTTTGGTGTTCCGGATAACGCAAGAATGACATATTCTTGACTCTTGCTTCGCTGCTTTTTATTGCAAACTGTCGACAAACAGATACAGTAAATTAATTTTGTATATTGGAATTGAGAAGAATTTCAAACTCAATAGAAATATTTAACAAAATCGAATGCTTTAACTCTAAAAAATTCAAAACAGTTGAACGAAATGTCAAAATTCCATTTGTACAATCAGCTGTTTTCAGGAGAACCGATAAATTGTCAACATGAGGTAGAAAAGTTTTATTCGGCTGTGCTTGTAGAAGTTGGTGGAACTTTAGCTAAAAGCTCATCGAGATTGAAATTTTGGCGTCGGGATGACGAAGGAAATGCTTAGAGCAGCATCAACACGACGTCGCCTATCTATGCACATGCATTCATACGTACATACACACATAGGACATAGGGCACCTTTTATTAAAAAAAAATACTGTTCCCGAGGGATAGAAAAAATTATCTTTTTATGTGGTCGATTTCACGCCATAACTACTCAATCGGTCATCATGAAACTTAGTAGGTTCATTGTCAGGGACACAGAAAAGAACATAGAGTATCTTCTATCGAGAAGAAAAACTGATATTCCCAAGGAATAGAAAAATTAGTTTTATGTGGTCGTCGATGATCTTTGACACGTATGTAGGACATCAACGCGAGCGCGGATGAAATCTGGAAATAATAAATAGCAATCCACACTAAGAAGTGAGAAGAATCAAAACTGCCTAGGCAGAACCTACTTCAACTTCAGTAAAGCTGAGGTTATGTTAAGCCTGCGCACGTCAGTAGTGCTAATTCTGGGTACATTATGAATTATTGTCCTTAACACAAATATTTATGTAATAAGCTGCATTCCTCAGGACGAATAGGTACTCTACGTTTAATAAAACGATAATTGACTTATAAGCTTCATATTTTACTTGGTTTAACAAATCATCACAAACGATATGTTTGGCGAAACAAGTTTGTTAGAGACTACATGTCATTCTAAAAACATTAATATTTGCTAAAGAAGTATATCTTCCCACAGACTATAATTTTCATAATAATAAAATGACATCTTTAGTTGCAATATAAAATAGGTAGGTGATTTTATTTAACATTCAGAACAGAAATGAAGTGAATAGTCAATGAAGTCTAAGGTTGTCAAATTTAAATTTAACTTACTTGTGGTGGTGGTTCTGCATGAACAATGCAAACTAGATACGCTTCTAAACCAATTCCAGTATGAACAGTAGCTCTTTCTGTTTCTACGTCTGGCGCATCTGAAATAAAAGATTTAATAAAACTAATTGTAAGGTTCCTATTATCTAACAAAATACATATACTATCCAAATACTGGCAATATTTGACCATCTTGTATGTACTCGCTGTTACTGAAGTATTTCAAGCGTTATAGTTAATATTATTAATAAGAACGTTTAAAGTCTTGGCGAAAAATTTAGATGCCTACTGAAAATAAGGGACTTCTTTTAATTTTTCATCTCCTGTCATTGTTATATTCACTCTCCTACTTTTTCTTTCCAGGCATATCAATATTTTTGTTTTACTTTTTATTTATTTTCATAGCGTTCCGTTTAGACAATATTACTTCCATTTTATTTAAGGCAATCCTTAACTCCTCCTTGCTTCATGCTAATATTGTTGTATCGTCTGGAAATTTAAACATACTAATCTTTAGCACTTGTATATCAATCCTTAAAGTTTTGCTGTCATTAATGATGATGATCGCGTCTTTGATGTATAGATTAAAAAGTAACGGTGGCAGTGTGCATCCCTGTCTGACTCCCTTCCTAATATTTAGGTACTTCTTCACCTTGCTCCTTAAATTCTATAACTGTCTGTTGCTCCTTATATAAACCATATACATATTAAGCTTCTATCTCTGTATCTCAATCCTACATTTTTAAGTGGATTTAAAGTCTTGTCCCAATTAACAAGCTCAAAAGGTTTTTCTAAATCTACGAATCAATGTAACAATATAAGCGACCTTTACTTTTTCTCCTCCTCCCTTTTTTCTATCCTTTTCTATATGACAGTAGTTCAGATTTATGACGCAAGGGAAGTGAAACAAATTGTTCTAAAGTGAACAAACGAAACAAGACGATGTCGGTCCTATAACCAATAAAGACGTTATCACCTTACCTTCTCTTGCTTTAATTTTTTTGTTCACAGTAGATATACGGGAAAAATAGCGAATTAACTATTCTAAATTTCTCGTATTTATTCGCGCCTCTCTTTTTTGATATGGTTACTACCACGTTCCCTCATCGTGGGGTATCCTAGCTCACTTATCTCCACACTATCTTCCTTCTCTAATGCATCTCATAACTCTTGACCTGCGTATAGGTTCTGTAAATATATTATTTTCACCTATCGTTTCTTATATTATTGTTACCATGCCCTACTTAGAAAATACCACAAATGGTGTGGTAAACGCCATTTGTAGTACGCCGCTACATTTTAGGATTACGTATACTTCAACAAGGTCCATTTGTATGGATACCTACTTGCTGAAACGAATCCCGGCGTAGCTAAACTCAACGTGATAGGCACGTTACCATAATCGAACAAAATAATTCGATGTGGTCTGTATTCTGTCGAAACTGCCAGATACGGATCGCGATTTCGATCTTTGTGGATCTCATCAGCGCGTCGCAAACAGCTCCGACAGAACACAGACCATCTTTTACCTGCTGCCTTAAGAGCGCGTTTTAGAAAATACCACAAATGGTGCGGTAAACGCCATCTGTAGTACGATGATACATTTTAGGATTACGTATGCTCCAACAAGGTCCATTTGTGTGGATATCTACTTGCTGAAACGAATCCCAGCGTAGCTAACCTCAACGTGATAGACACGTTACCATAATCGAATAAAATAATTCGAAGTGGTCAGTATTCTGTCGTATCTTTCCTTTCGGATCTCATCAGCGCGTCGCAGGCAGCTACGACAGAACACAGACCAACCTTTACCTGCTGTCTTAAAAGTGCGTTTTAGAAAATACCACAAATATGCCCTACTTCTATAAAATTGCCTTTATATTATATTTCACCTACTTCAATTTTCTGTTCTACTTCTTTACACCTCATGTAAATCATATATATATATATATATATGATATATATATCCTCATATCACAAGTACCATTAAGAGTTAACATTTTTCTTAACAACTAAAGATTATTTTTAGGAATCTGATAGTTTTCAAACTCCTTTTGAATTCTTGATATTTTTATCGAACAATCAAGTGTACTCCTGAACAAGTTCTCGTTTGAAATGATATATAACGTGAACGTTTCAGGTCGGTCAAACATTCGATAAGGATCAAAGAGCTTCAGAATACCTACACCTAATCTCGACTGACTGAATCCTATAAAGACCGTACGTCGTTGAAACAAGCCTGTAAAATCCTCAAAACATAATTCCACACTTCGGAGAGCAGTATCATGGAATAAGCTTTCGAGGCGTTCCATTATTTGATTTTTGCTCACACGGCTTGAAATTTTATCAGGACAAACATCTAGTGTAAAATCAGATGAACAAGAAATAAAACAATTTCAAAATTTCTGGACGTGGCAGTTTCCTATTTTGTCTGTTCTCTTTAAACATATAATTATTAGAGAGGGTTCAATGTAATTTTTATTTAAACTTTAAGGAACTTTCAAAATTGTCGTTTTCTTGCATATAGGGTACTATTCCACGGTGCTTGTACAAATTTTTAAATTCGGACGAAATTTACCGAAATGAAAGTTAAAATCCTACAGTTCTTACTTAAAAACGGCGAAAATATCAGTAAACTTTTAATGTAGCAATATTAAGTCCTCAGAAAGTATATATTAACGTAATTTTTAGCATTTTAAGTTCTTTTCTAATTTCGGCCTATAACTTATTTCTTAAATACTTTAAATATAGATATTGCTATATTAAATGTACTGACAGCACTCTTATTTAACTGGTTTGCAATTGAAATTTGTGTAATCAAGATAAGTACAATCTAGAGATAGTTTTAGATTAAGGTACTTAAAAAATAACTTTTTACGTTTCTTTGTTTTTGAACTTTATATCACGTGGTTTATTTTTGTTTTGTTCAAATAACAAAATAGAAAAGATATCTCTATTTAAAATTACCATTTTACTTAGATGTCATGGACGCACCTCATTAAATAGTAGCACTCTACGGTTTTGTCATATTTTGGACTCAATTGATCACAAGAAAAAGTAAAAATTCTATTACTTTTTACTTCCTTACTCTTTTTTTGAACAAAGACGATTACCTAGAAGTTGCACTGTACTGCCTCAATTTATGAAATCTTGACAATATTTAAAAGTAAGTTGAAGTAATAATATCAAACGCTTTATGAAGAGATTGCTCAAGCTGGCGTCTGCTGTTCTTAGAGCGATGCTATCAACATTTATATCTATTTACAATCTCAACAGATAACGCTACAGTTATTAAATTACATTGAACAAGAGAAGGGAAACGGTAATTCGATTGCATGAGTAAATACCGTTGTAAAGGTGAAACAATACTTCCAAGCAACATATTATTAAAACTCATATCATAAGTTTCTGTGAGACTGTATGTATTTTGTATTCATCTCTTTAAAATGCATTGAGTTATTGTATTTAAGATATAGAACCTTTTTTTTTTGAGATATTGAACACCATTCGAAGTTCCATACCTAAATAACCGGTTTTCTACACACAGTACTGCAACTCAATGTAATGTTGCTAACCTCAGCTATTACTTTAAGAATTATTTCGATTAAGCATTTCTTAATAAATAAATAGTACAGTGTCTTCTATTATGACTACTATCGAACAAACCAACCCTCAATAACTAGTAATATGGAATACACACTGTCTGATCAGTATTCCGGAAAAATTAAGGGAGAACAAAGTACATGAAAAAGAAACAGAATGAGCCATCTCTTAAAGGAGATTTAACGTGGGACACCTTACCATCTAATGGTAAATCCACACGCCAAAACAAAAACACAGCTCAGCCGTGGTGGAATGAGAAGATTTCCCCTCCGTCAGGTGGATTGGTCTCAGGAAGCCACCGAGTGCCTGAGGGTTAGCGAGGCGAGTAACCCCCAAGTTCGGGCCTATCTACACCCTTAGGGCAGAATCGAAGCTAGACTCCTGTGGCCTCCCTGCCTCCCGAGTACTTGTATAGGCTCTCCAGTCGCCATCAGCTACTCCGGAGTACTCCTCGTTTTGCTGTACTCTCGCTATCACCGGACATCCTTCAGCCTCCTGGCTCGCCCGAGCTACTACGCTTCTCGCATCTACTCTGTTTTCACCATAAATGTGCAGCCCCCCTAATGGGTCAGACTGCACACCCGATCCACATAGGGTCACCGGCATTCCGCTATGCTTCACGCTGTAACCCCCCTAATGGGTCAGGTTACCTTCTACTCTGTGCCACCGCCTGATGCACACCCCTTGGCAGGACACGTACTTCGCCTTGGACATGGGTAGGGAGGAAGCTACCCAGAGGACCGCTGACTTTTCGGCGCCTGTAGAGGTTCCCATTCGACCGCCAGCTGCCGCGTGTGGCATACGAGACGGGTGCTTCCCACAATCACTTTGCTTCCAGATGCCCGGGGGTCCTTTAGCTTCGCCATAATATGTGTAATGGGTACTGAGCCCCACCACCACGGCAAGGTGAGGATCCTGAGGGGGGGGGCATCTCTCACTACTGAGTGATCTCTATAAACATGAGGGTAATGACCTTACCAAAAACCCAATCTGCTCCGGCAATGACGACGTGTATTCGCGTGATGCCGCTAGTGCATTCTCATCCACCGTCCATATGTGCCCATCATGCCCACATACTCTGCGTGTGAATACTTATTCTGTATTTTGTGGTAACAGCACTAACTTCGGAGTGCAGGCTACTAATACTAGTCGTCATACTTGCAATTGACCTGACTGTGTACCAGTTGTTGCGAAGGTCACGAGGAGGTATGAGAGTTTCGTCACCAGACGCTAGCGATGTAGAAGTGCAATTAGGTAACGCGATTGCCAAATTGGCAACTGTTCTCAATCATTGGCGGCTCGTTAACTAGGGTACTTTTTATACATACTATTTACACCCCCTACGCTGTGGAGTTATCACGAGATGCACTATACAATTGCCTTGAACCTTTCAAATATTCGAGAAGACTGATCAAACTTAGTGTATTCATAATCATACGACATAGCCTTTTAATATCTATTCTAAAACTAACTGGTATTAATAAAATAGCTATACTTACATCGTACGTTTAAGGTTATGATTTTGGTATCGGGTTGGCCAACTCCGTTGTCCGCTGAGCACATGTACTGCCCGGCCGAATGTCTGTCAGCGCTTTGTATCACAAGAGCTTGTCCGGACACGCTACGCTCTCCACTGGGTAGGACGTTGTTTTTCCTTGTCCATGCCACTGTTGGCACAGGATTACCCGAAGCACGACATTCTAACTTTACCGTAGCACCTTGAACGACATCCAATGGTCCCGTGTGAGAGACGTAATGAATCCGAGGAGGCACTGAAACAAGAAACAACAGGTAAGTAAATGGAAGGAACCAGAAAAGCATACTGTTTCATGTCCCGACAACTGGGTACCTTTTTTTTAAATTTCGATCAAGTATGGTAATAGCCAAGAAAAAGAAGCTGTTATTCCAACGTTATCGTAGTTTCAAGAAGTTTATCATTTAAGTAACGGAAACTCAACTAAAAATAGATACCTTTAAAAGTAGACAGCTACTAAACATTAATCATTTACAATAAATTATTTATTCATCGATACTAGGTAACTATCAGTTGGTCTACAAACATATTCATCTTTCTCATTCGATACTTCAAATCTGATAGAGTTTCATCCCTTTAGCCTCCTTTAGAAATTTATCTGAATTACATTCCTTCCGTGCATTCTAAATCTCTCACGCCTTTTCTACGCATTTTAGTCTGTTTGCTATGTACATACAGACTAAAATCCCTAGACGCCCTACATTTGCGTTCAAGGGCTAAAAAATTTCCTGCGTGTTTTATCAACTTTCCACAAGCTTGTTCTCTTTTCACCAAAATGGTTGGTAAAATTATAGAAGACTAGATTTTATCTACGGTTTCGCTGAAGTTGATGTTTTATTTTATTAATTTTCATATAAAAAGTATTTATTACGGTTATTGTACTGCATATTCCAATTTAACTCCAATATGATATGAGCGATAATGGCATGTTCATTTGGATTTACAAAACCCTTTGACTCATCTCGGTAGACCAGATCGCTCATATTCGCATATCACATTTCTAACCTCTAAAACAAAACGGTATTCATTCTCTTTTTGGATAAAAGATACTCTATGTTCTTTTCTGTTCTTCTGGAAATGTGTGTACAAAATTTCATCATGATCGGTTGAGTAGTTTAGGGGTGAAAACGTAACAAACAGACATACCCATAAACAAACTTACAATCGCATCTATAACACTACTTAGGATATACGAACAAAATATGAGAAGTATGTCGTAGAAGTCAAAAAGCATGGATTAGGTGTTTTACATCTTCCGGACTTGTTATCCAAATGTTTATGGGACACAATTTTCACGATTTTTTACTGGTTTTTCGAAGTTACTCATTGGAACCATGAAAACTAGAGATAAGAAGAATGTAAGTGTTGTGGTACATTAGTTCATCTGCTTTGAAAAATTGTATAATTAGCAACAACTTAAGGTATAGTAGCAGTAGCTCATACCAAGACAATACAGTGATTGCAGCGTCTTACTATTTTCTGCATATTTCTGAGACACCGTTTTAAATAGCGATCACTCTCCTCAAAACTAAACTCAATCAAGGTCATCAGGCCGAAGACTGATTTGACATACACAACCATTCCTATCTATCTTGACGCTATTTCTAGCAATACTGGAATATCATCCCAACTACAACATCCCAAACTACAGCATCTCATATTACGAACTATTTGCGAATATCGATCTTCTTCTACCCTTCTATATTCATGTTTCTTTATCTAACAGGTATGATCTAAACATATACTTTTAATAAATTTGTTATAAATTCCAAATTGACCATTTCATTTTCTTAATAGGTCTTTATCGCTTTTTCTATATTACATTATATGACTTTCAAGAATTGAAAATTGTCGAGTTCCTCTAGTCTTCCGTCTAACTTTTTTGACGTGACGTCTTATAATTCGATGGAGCCGGCTGCACGCACGAAAAAACATGACTCATACGGCGTTACCTCGCTCTGAGGCGTTCCATTTAAGGCTTGAAGTGCAAGCGAGAGCGCGGAACAAGCGACAAAGAGGCCCAATCGGCCTCCGCGTTCGGCAGCGTTCGACATCTGTCTCTTTCCTACTTGAGTGAGCGATGCGTCCGCGTGGAAAGCTGCTATACAATAATACATTTCCATTTACCTCCTTCTCTATATCCATACAAAATATCTATCAAACAAATAAAATTAAAATTTTCTTTTGAAAAATGAAACCATTCAATCAGTATTTTCTTATGACATTTACTTTAAATTAATTATTTCTATTCTTAGAATTTAAAATGACATAGTGTATTTATGTGGAATATCTATTCCTTTATCATTTTTGCAACATCTTTCGACAAACCAAAAACTCCAGCGGACATACTCCGGGTTCTTATTGTTTTCCATGATTAGTACACCCATTAAATCAACGCTTTAGTCTTGTGGCATGTAAAGGCAATTTGTTTATAATATTATTCAAGCATAGTCTAGGCCGCCGAGAGTTTATGTCACGAAAGTTACAAAACGTGAACCTCATGAATTTTAAAGAGGTCAACAAAAAATTGCGGATCTGATTGGATCACGAGCCCCGAAAACTTTGACAGAAAGCTTAAACGTGTTTTTGCGGTTACACCCTCCGCGTTCTGGACAACAAAAGGGTCTAAACCTGTTACTGAAAATTAAATTCTAGTTATAAATCAAAGTGCCGCAGGACCTGCTTTCGATAGTATTCTCTCAAAAGAAATAAAACACAGGAAATAGCGAAACGTTTACGTTAAATTTACTGTTTTTATAATTAGTATCTTCATTTACTTTCTGTAGCGATGTGCCCCTTCCAATGTCTTGGATGCGCGCTGGCAATATCATAGGTAGGGAGAAAAAAGCTCATTATACTCTCGACTCTTGTTCATTAAACATACTTTTTCATACAGTACCTGCCAAAAGTTTTGTTCAATCATCAATAGTAGTGCGAGTCGAAAACAAGCGCTAAAGCCTTTAATATATCTTCAAATATAAATAAACATCTCGTTGATATTTTCAGTAGTAAGTGGTACCAATAACAGCACATTTGAGCAATGCAATTGTAGTAGATTGGTCAATTTTTCCGTGCAGTTCTGTACGGATTATGCGCTCCTCACCGGTTAAGAGTTTGGCCTAGAGTTGTCTCCTTCCTTTTCTGGCCTAGTGCTGTTCTTTTCTACTTTGCAACGGTCAAACTGAAGGTCACATTGCTACAGAAAGTAAACGAAGTATATTTAAATATAACATACCGTCACTTTTTATGTTTCTGGAATGAAGTTCCTTATCATACGTTACGGCGGTAAGGAAGTAAACATCAAAGATCAGCATTGTCAAATGAATTTCTTTTTATTCCTTGGTTGTTTTATCATCAAAGAATGTTGAACAAAAAAATTCACTTAGAAGATATTTTCTTTGGTTATTGATTTGCCATGATACAAGCAACCCTTAAACAACAGGAATTTATTTGACACAAAAATTACATTACATTATAAATCAACCAAATTCCTCTTTTTCGTAAACTGCTTCTAAATTTCCTGGGTCTACGAAATTTTCGATTAGTTTGCCATCTGGTGAATACAGGTATTTAGAGAAGTCATTTAAATAGCTTCGAAAGCTAACCTACTACTAGCAACCGACAGCGTATTGTATTTGCCTCAGCGTTACAGAATAAGTCGTAAGTACTGCTGTGCGATGGGTCACATAAGCTGTTTGTACATTCGACATGTACCTGGGTGAACCGTTGCCCCTCGTAACTACCGTTTCTGTTTCGAATATGTGTCTAATTAAGCCTTCATAATACTAGGATCCTCTTTCTTCTTTTCCACATTGACTTTCAGATAACAAATAATGGCGACACCCATTAAAATAAAGAAACAAAGGAAAACTTTCATTTCATTCGCCGATATGAAAACATGACATGGCAAAATAATACATCATCATTATTATTAGGTCTCCAGCCCGAAAACTAACTGGACACGCACCTCCACTTCTTCATATCTTGAACAAATCTTTGCGTTTTTCGAAAACTACAGCAACCTACACATTTATTTGCGAACAGTAATCTAATGTGGGTGTATCGCAGCTACTTATAATTGCTGTATCTCTTTCTGTTACCTATGTCTCTAACTGGGCCTTCATATCTCTACCTACCGTTCTTTTCTTTTCTTTATTGCTTTCCAGATAATAAATAAAGGCGACACCCATCAGCATAAAGAAAAAGGTAAATTTTCATTTCATTCAGCATTTGTATTGATGGCCGATAGGAATACATGACATGACAAAATGATACATCATTATTATCATAAGGTATGCAGCCCGAAAACTAGCTGGACACGCACCTCCACTTCTTCATATCTTAAACAAATCTTCGCATTTCTGGAGAACTACTGTATCTGTTTCCAATACCTATGCACCTTTTGAGATCCAACAAGATCGATATAGCGATCCGCGTCTGGCAGAATACTGACCACTTCGAATTTCTTTATTCGATTATGATAACGTGCTTATCACATAGTGGTGAGCTACGCCTGGATTCATATTGATTCCGTAAAACGTAGCATTGTACTACAGATGACGTTTACCGCGCCATTTGTAGCATTTTATAAAACGCTCTGTTAAGACAGCAGGTGAAGTTGGTCTGTGTTCGGTCGAAACTGTATGAGACGCGCTGACGAGTTCCAACAAAATCGAAATCGCGATCCGCATCTGGCAGTGTCAACAGAATACTGACCATTTCGAATTCCTTTATTAGGCCATCCTATCCCTTCTTTTCCTTATTTTCTTCTAAACGGTAAATTATTAATTAAAAACAAACTAATAACGATAAGGGCTTGATAATTTTGGTCTACTTTCCGAAAAAATATCTTTTCTCCTCATTTGCAAATAAGTAAAATTGGTTTTTGGTTTAATTTCATTTATTTTCCTACAAATTCCTATCACCGCCGGTGATTTTATTTAGTCCATCCGAATCGGTATTCCGAAATTTATTTTCCCTTACAATTCCCATTATTTTATCCTTGATTTTAAATTAAATAAAAACGATCCAGTTTTAATTCGATTACCATTCGGCGAAAACGTAGAGAAACTTATAATTATGAGATAGGTATACAGAACTTCATAACGGCAACCAGATTTCCATTTTACAATCAAGTCTGATTAGCGCAAGTGTACCTTGCATACTGATAAATTGGTGACGACTTAAAGCACAATACAATCCATTCTCGTACTCTTGTATTATTCTATGCTCGATTGT